CTGTAAAATATTTTTTTCCCCCAATATATGTAAATGAGTAGGAAAAATATGCTTCTGGTCATTATTTATTACAATCTTTATTTAATATTTATATTATCATTTATTTACAATTTTGGAACCTAAAAGTAAAAACCTTATTCAGAGAGAATTAAGACAAAATATTTTCAAATTGTGGGTCCGTGATCTAATGTGCATCTATTGTGGGGGTCCTTGACATGACAAAGTTTTGGAACCCCTGGTTTAAACAAAACTGGGTTCAGAGAGTCTGCATTACTGAATAAAGAGTATATTATTATTAATATTATTATTATTTATTTTTCTTTTTATATTATTATTATGTGTGTATGATATTAATAGTAAAAGTAATGTTTTAGGAACAAACCCCTGTCGGTTCAGGTGGAGATGGATACAATCTCACAGTAAGGAGGAGCTGTCGAATCCTCTACAAGCTCTCAGCTTAAGTGAAGTGTCTCCACCTGCCATTTACACATGGCTGGGTCAAACAAGCTGCCAGAGTTTTACATGGATATCTCTAAAGCTCTATGCTCTCGCAGAGTGTCTGTACGTGAATTATACATTTCTCTTACAGCTAGTTTCAGTCATCAAGGTTCATGTGTCAGAAAGTTACTTTGGTGCTACAGTGTGAAAGGAATAAGAAATATAAGAAAATGGTGATCAGAGAAAATAAACTCATCTTCTCTTAGTTTGTATTAATGTACCTTTTCCTTTATCTCTAGCTGGTTGTGTGCGTGTCCATTGTCTCAGCGCTCAGACACAGCAGGTATAAAATACAACAGCAGTCAGTTTTTTTGCATAGAAACAATGGAAATCCATTAAGGTGGAAATATTTAGCGTGCACAGCATCTAGGGGGTAAAGCATGTACTGCTAAAACAGCCTACTGTATGTGTTTGAGGCGGGTGTCAGATTTAATTCCCCCATGTCAGCCAGCTGTCATCTCTGCCCTTTTAAACCATTTGTGCTTACCTTTTGTCATAGATTTTTCTTGTGTTATATTGGCGACGGCGATGTGAGCTCAAATTCATTCTGGACAAAAAATATACAGGTTCATAAAGCTTCTCAAACAGTGCAAACATCTGTGTCATTTAGTTAATCCTGTCAGCATTCACAAATCAAGAATTTGGTTGCAAAATAAGATGACTATTGTTTGGGCAATTTTAGAAATGGCTGACGCTATATTTTCTTTAGTTTTTAAAAGATAAGTAGAAAGATAGGGGAGTCAAATCCTAGTTATTTAATGAGGAACTTAATGTAATAATAATATTTTGTGTTGTTGTTTTTATACCTAAGTGTGATTTCCTGAGTGTTTTAACTGCTTCACTACTAAATAAGCTTTCTCAGGATGATCACTCTCAAAGGTTAGTTTTATATTTCTCTGTGCCTACTCTGCTGATTCTATGTTCCAAAGCCATCAATCAATTGATATGTTCTGTTACACTGTAGCTCAACTGAAGACACTGAATGAATCTGCAGGTTTCATCCACAGCTAGACTGCAATCATTGCAAAGTCAATAAATCCAGAGAGATTTACATTCTGCCTCTCATGAACATTCAGAAGTTAAACCAGTCCTCTGAAAAATAACCTCACAGGCATTGATTTTTATAATTAATGTATTTAGAAATGTGTGAACGACATATTTCCAACATTATTCTAATGGTTGCTCTTTGCAGAATTTGTCAAATAACGATGAAGCAACTTTTATTTCAACAGTTCACTACATTTAAACGTAAAAAAAAAATATGACTTAAAGTCATACTTCACTTTTTCTTCACATTTTTAAAATAATTTTAAAGGTTTAAAAAATTATAAAAATCCTGTGGTTTCAGTCACACTTAATATGTACATAAACCTACCATTGTATAGTCACATAAAAATATACATATATATATATATATATAAATTATTAAACACTAAGTCCATTGCCATTTATTATTTCTGAAAACTTAAATTTTGTAAGACTAGTTTACTTAACTTACTATAGAATTTAAAAAGTTATTAGAATTTCACATTACTTGATGGATGCAGTATTTTTTGTTTTGTTTTGTTTTTCCAGCAAAGACACTTCAAGCATACTTAAATATGTGAGTCAAAAAAATATTGTATGTAGTTTTTACCAAACACAGTTTTACTGTATAGTTAAAACTCTAGTCCCTCACTACATACATTCTTTTGCTGCCATAAGCCCCCAGCCGGGTCTCCACGGAAATGGTCTTAGATGTACCAACTGTTGAGTGCAGACAACAGACTGGCAGCAGTCCTGAATGCTTCTCCTGATGGGTGTCTAGCAGCTGTTGCTATAGGATTATGAGCTCTCTGTCTTTTCTCACGGCATAACAAAGCTTACTGGGAATTCTCCGTCATCATGCTTATTGCTGCTATTGTCATCAGCTGCTTCACTTTGAAGGCCTCTCCAAGCTCTTACCTTATTCCAATGTATACAGGACCACAGCAACGTTCAGAAAATATGGAGCTTTGGTGTACTGTAGATAAGACTGGCTGGGGTCCAACAATTTCCGCTGGTTCACTGCCATGTTTGTGTGTGTGCGTCCCTGCATCATATACATTATGGATTAGTTGTGTTGTCCCGTGTTTGTCTATGATTTGATCCTAGTGGAAGGCAGAGTTGGACATGAGAGTTTGTTCATTGGTTGGGCAGTCAAGTTGGCCCTGCTGTAACCCCAGAACTCCTCTGTCACCTGACTTCAGCCCCGCTGGCAACAGTGACTCTGCTGAAATGAACAGAATGCATCTAGCTGACAGAGAAAGTCAGACAGAGAGAGGGAGGGTGTACCTGAGTCTATTGTCACAGTTTAGTGTATCTTAGTACAGCGTAGTTTAATGGGAATGACATATAAAGTATATCATTTATGGTTCTCCTAATTTATTTATTTTTGTATCTGTCTTTTCACTCTGCTCTGTACCGTTTGTATCAGTGTACTGTTATTCTGTCTACTGTCCAGTACTGTGCAGCTGCAGTGTGTCTTTTTTTATTATATAATATCACTGCCTAAAATGGGCCAGTACTCACTGTTACTGGGAATCAACACTTCTGATTTTTGTCCAGGTGAATACCCTTACTTCTCATTGCGTACTCGCACATTCTGGTGAGTCTACGTACACACCCCTAAACACCTGCGTAATGCTTGATTTTATTCTCCCCACCAGCTGGCCGGTTAGTTAGGGATGGAATGAGATGGTTAGACCAGAAAATGTCAGGATCAGAGCCAATCAGAGGCAGAGTAGAGTCTGATCTTTGAAATAACAAAAACAAAAACCTTACTGCATCTCTTTGTGAACATACACTGAGAAAACAGCGCTGAAAATGTCGGTCCAATTCAGGCACTGTTCATGATGTCTGTGCTTAACAACCAATAACAGATCACACTCTTACCTTACACATGCCTAGGTTTTTAATTACTACCTTTTTTTGGATTTTGGACTATTTTTACATGCTGTAGCAGCTGGCAAGTTGACTTTTCATCCAGCACCATCAAATTTTGAATTGGTCCTTTTTTTTTTGACAAAATAAAATTTTCATGAGCTGTACTTCATGTTTAGTTTCACTCAACCAATGTTAGCAGTTAGTTAGTCTTATTGAAAACGTCAATGTGGAAACTGGACGATGTCGTTTTTGGTTTTGCACTACTAATATTCACAAATCTTTACAAAACTGTTATGTCCACCGTTAAGCATATGCATATTTATATACAACCTTCTATGTTTTATGGTTAGGACTGAGGCTTCTGACTTTAATTTATTAGAGTTACTGTTATAAATATTTGGTCGTCTGTGACCCTGAAGTCCCAAAATCTGACACACGAATTATGGATGGGGCTTCATGCTGGCCTGGGTATTCAGCGTGCTGATCATGAATCACAGTGTTCCTGGTTTGAGTCTGACATTCCTCATTTCTTGTCATCTCTCTACTGCATATCTCTCATAAGGGAATAAAAATGCCTGAATGCCCTTTTAAAGAATTATGGATAAAATGTGTTTTTGTGCTGAAACAGCGACCAGAGCAGCTTGAAACAATTTTTGTTTCTCATATTTTCGAGATTCATCTTTAGAAATGCATTAATAACACTGTAAAAAATGAATCCGCCGGTCCACTCTCAGATTTATCTCTGTTTACAACCACAGCACTAATCATTACATCCTTCACAGAAAAATTGACTCTCTCATTCTACCAGTGGGGAACTGCCTCCTTTACTCTTTAGCCTTGGTTATTAGTAGTTAGGCTACTGGAGCTCACTCCTATTGTTCCATGTCCCACCAGCATGGATAACTGAATTTCACTGCCACACACACATGCACACACAGAGTCCTGCACACTCTGCTGTTGCTTACTGGAAAGCCTCTGGGCCAAAACAGGGCAGCGTTGCTTTCCAGAGTAAGTCAACCGGAGCTACTGCATCAGTGGTTCCCCACAGCTCTAACACTAAGAACCCATTTCCCGCTTGATTATTTATGATCCTGCTTGATAATCTAGTCTTAGATCAATTACACTGTGCAACCTATGAGCTGCATATTACAGTGACAGTGAATAAATCTGCCAGTGGGAGACATCCGCTGAAATTTAAAGTCCCTTGGCATAGATTCAACACATAATCTTTCCTTGACTAGAACACATTTGGTTCTCAGTCACACAGTGGATTTAACAGCAGAAGTGTTCTCTGTGGTAGGAAGCTCCATGTTACCACACATTTAATAAAAGGGCCTTAGTAATGGACACTTTAGATACAATGCTGCCCTCTACTGAAATATGAGGTGAAGTGCACTTCTGGTTGATGGACAGTGGGTAGATTTAATTTTTTTAATAATTGTTATTACTGTACAACTAAACTAAGCTAAAGTGAACCAAATACTACGGTACTACAGTACTACGATACGATTTTATACTAAAACATTGCTGAGTTTTTGCTGTTGCTGTTTTCATTTTAACTGACTTACTCTTTCATGCTCTCTCTGTTTGTCTTGCAGGTATTTTATTTTCAACACTAGTGTTTGGCCCGGCCTGTGGCTTCATCTTAGGTTCTGTCTGTACCAAAGTCTATGTTGATGCTGTCTTCATCGACACTAGTGAGTTGGCAGCTGCTTTCTTTCTTTGAATTTCTTGAGATATATTCTTGAATTTTGTTATTTTTTGTTGCTGTAGATAAACTATAAATCAAGAACAACAACAATATTGTATCACAATAGAAACATTAAATTAACAGGCAGAATTTACTTTTTTCATATTGATCTATAAAATTTCATTCAACACTCATCCATTGTGGTATATTCCCCTACCTCCTTTCTAGGTACGCTAGACATCACCCCAGATGACCCTCGCTGGATCGGGGCGTGGTGGGCCGGCTTCCTTCTCTGTGGTGCCTTACTCTTTGTGTCAGCCCTCTTCATGTTTGGCTTCCCCCAGTCGCTGGACGAGCAGGACATGGATGGTGGAGGGGAGAGTGAGCAGGCCATGCTGCCTTCTTCCCTGACCCTGGAGTACCAGGGCTCTAAACCCAACGGGGCCATTCATGGCTTTGATATAAACAGTGGACTCTCAGTTTGTGAGCATCTGAGAGGTGAGATAGAGAAGAGAAGGGAGAAGATCCTGAGAAAAAAGGGCTGAAGAACAGTGGGAAATTTCAAAATAGAATATAAGATTTGATTGTTAATCAAATTCCTCAGAAATTATAATTTTTCTGTCATTCCTAACCCTTTTCTCTGTTTTTTCTGTCTCTCTACCGGTACCCGATCTACTACTCATTGTATCCTATTTTCTCCATTTTCCTCTTCTCCATCAACCCAGTAATCCCCCGGGTAACCAGGCACCTTCTCTCTAATCCGGTGTTCAGCTGCATCACACTGGCAGCCTGCATGGAGATTGCTGTGGTTGCTGGCTTTGCTGCCTTCCTGGGAAAATACCTGGAGCAGCAGTTCAACCTTACCACCTCCTCAGCCAATCAGCTGCTAGGTAGGCGGATCATAATCTTGTGTATTTTAGCATTAAACCTTCAGGGCACCCAGGTTTAGGATATAAAAAAACTAATTTTATATCATAGAGAGTTTATATATTGTATAATATAATGACAACATTTGTGTAGTGCAGAAACATATACTAAGGAAAATGCCAGTAAAAACATTGGACGCCTTTGTCTTCCCCTCCCCAGGTATGACGGCCATCCCCTGTGCCTGTCTGGGTATCTTCCTCGGGGGTCTGCTGGTAAAGAAACTGAACCTGTCAGCTTTGGGCGCTGTCCGAATGGCCATGCTGGTCAACCTGGTGTCCACTGCCTGCTATGTCTCTTTTCTTTTCCTGGGCTGTGACACCGGACCTGTCGCCGGGGTGACTGTCGCCTACGGCAACGAGTAAGCAGGGACAAGTTATTGTATTGCTTGTATGCAGTTTTTCAAGAAACATATTCTAGTTATGCATGACTTGCACTAGCATGCTAATAAGAATATGATAAAATATAAAAAATTAAAATTGACAAACAATACAATGTACTGCAACTTTTTTGCTTAGATATAGCTTTAATAGCTATTCCTGTTTACATAATACGGGTGTATTAATACAGGATTCAGGCCTTGCATAAGAGACTTTAAATAGGCCAAAAATAACCTTCTTGTCACTAAGAGACAAGATGATGAAGCTGGGAGGTTTTGTTGCTGATTTATTGAACTTCTCTTGTGCATTAACAGTAAAATATCAGCAATGCTTTATATCTGTAATATGATGTTCCACATGTCAGATAGCAGACATAAGCACTGTCAGTGTTAACTGTGGAGTAAGCTGCCTCTGCACTGTACTCTATGGGTTAAAACTTTAAGACATGCTGTAATTCTGATGTTATGCATTTGAAAGCTGTTGGATGTTCAGCCCATAGAGTGCTCTATGTATGTCAAGTGCTGACTTACTCTTTAAAAATGAATTAATGTCCATGCAGGCTTGAAATGATACAAAAGTGAGTGAATGTCTTCAGGAAAAGTTTGTTTTTAATGAAGTTGTTTCTGTGGTTACTCCCATTTGATGTGAACATTGTACACAAAATATATTACAATATACTCCCTAACATGACCTTTGACCTCCTCCATAGGACGCTGAAGTCCTGGCAGCGACCTGAGTCACCGTGCATCAATAACTGTAACTGCTACACAGCATCAGTGAGCCCTGTCTGTGGCTCCAATGGAGTCACCTACCTCTCAGCCTGCTTCGCTGGCTGCACCAAACCAGTGAGTGAAAAAGTTAACACACACTAAAACAAGACCACTATGACTAGCTTGTAGTCTGGAGACTACACACATATTTACATACATAAATACGGTGCAGCAGTCCCACTTTAGGTCTCCATATTCACAGTAAGATAACAACATTTTGATCTCATTTCCTCTTTTTTCATCAGAACCTGACCAGCTGTACGTGTATATCCAGCACCAGTGAAGATGCGGTGGCTTTACCAGGGAAGTGTCCCAGTCCAGGCTGTCAGCAGGCCTTCCTCACCTTCCTATGTGTTATCTGTGTGTGCAGCATGATCGGAGCTATGGCCCAGACACCCTCTGTCATCATCCTTATCAGGTAAGGAGACCTGATGTTATGCATAGACTGCCCACAAGAGGGAGCCGTTGACATTCATGGCAAAATGATGGAGTCAGAGTCACTTCAGTCATACTGACACACATGGTAACATTATGTTATATACAGAGTCAAAGAACAGTGTGGGGTACATAACAGACAGGTGAGCGAATGGCTTTGAATATCACTCTAGATAAATATAGTCAATTATATCTGTATATATATTAAAGAATATTTTTTGTTTAGTACAACTTAGGGCATACTTTTATACTTCTAATCATATTTTAATAGAATAACACTATTATTACAGGTATAATAACCAAGATTTTAATGTGTTTGTGGTAAAGAAAAAGCTGCAGACAGCTGCTGGTTAGCTTAACTTAGTGTAAGTCTGGAAAAGGGGAAACAGCCTGGCTCTGTCCAAAGCTAACAAAGTCCATCTACGATCACCTCTAATGATCTCTAATTAACACGTTATCTTTTGTTTAGTCTGAACGATAACTTAAAGAAAAGTGTAAAAACATTTACAGTGGAGGTATGTGCAGGAGTCTTGTCGTCAGGTTGCCAGGAGACAGACATGAAGCTGAAGTAGTTACACTACTTTCCCCCCACCTGGTTCCAGACTTTATGCTGAGCTAAGCTAACTGGCTGCTGACTGAAGCTTCATATTTATTGTACAGATCTGAGAGTGGTATCAACCTTTTCATCTAAGAAAGCAAATAATATTCCCAAAATGTAGACCTATTCCATTAAACAAACACCCGGTTTTCTTGCAGATGGTAAAGTTACTAAACTGCTTTAACAGACCAATGACCCCACCTGCTGTATTTTCCGCAGGTGTGTGCATAGTTTTCCTGGGCAATGAGGAAAAATTATTTTGCATGTGTGCTCACTATAATTTACCTCCAAATAAAGTGGTAGATATTCTGGCAAAACTGTTAGCTTGTTTACAATTCATCTGATTGCAAACTTTGTTGTTGCATTTTCTCCATGTCCCCAAAGTACAGCAACTACTTTGGTGTGAAGAATGTTCCCATAATTGAAAGAAAAGATACAGAAATCAGACCTACGTTTTCTTAAACAGGAATTATCCTTTGAGATAATTAGGCTAAGCTCTTAGGTCTCCAGCTTGCTTGACCTCACTGGGAATGAAACTTTGAGTTCACCGGTACACACAATTTATGCCAATTCTGTCTTTGTTTTTTCAGAACTGTAAGCCCAGAACTTAAATCGTATGCCCTTGGAGTTCTGTTCCTGCTCCTGAGACTGATAGGTAAGCAGTTTTTAACATTAAATTAATGTATTTGCTTTGTATACTTTTCTGCAATTATATCCACAAATACAATTATTTGTTCTTGATTTTTCTATGGCTACACATTCTGTAATAAGTCTCACACTGCAGTGTTTGTCCTATCTGATGTGTTCGTGACATGTTCACTGTTGCCCTGTAGTTTTGCTCTGTGATTTAAATGTCGGAGCAATTTTTCACCCTGGTTGAAATTAACTTTATTGGTCTGTCTGTGTGGATATAAAGGAAACCTGAACTCAAACTGGTATGCTTTTTGACCTTTTGACCTGCTGACCTGTTGTCTGTCCATAATCCCCTCCTGCACCAGGCTTCATCCCTCCCCCTCTGATCTTCGGCATGGGCATCGACTCTACCTGTCTGTTCTGGAGCACCGTCTGCGGCGAGAAGGGAGCATGTATGCTGTACGACAATGTGGCCTACAGGCATCTGTATGTCAGCATCGCCATTGCCCTGAAGTCGTCAGCCTTCATCCTGTACACCACCACGTGGCAGTGCTTGAGAAAGAACTACAGGAAATACATCAAGAACAGCGAGGGTTACCTCACACCCACCGAACTCTTCGCCTCCAATGTGACTCTGGACAATTTGGGCAAAGAGATCACCCAGAACCCAGCCAACAGGACAAAGTTCATATACAACCTGGAGGACCATGAGATGTGTGACAACATGGAGTCAGTTTTATAGTGGCGGTCTGCAATGGGACTGCATACTGAGGCTGTTAATGTGCAACTGATCTGATGTGCGATGTGTCTTTGGTGTCGTATCAGTTTAGAAGAATGTCGTCAGTAAGGGTCTTAGCTTCTTCTCACCCAAAACATCAGACATAGTGAAAAAAAATGAAGAGTTTCCCAAAATGCTCTATATCCACATTGCACTTAATGTTTTTTTAAACTGAAATACATATGATTTGGTCAATTTTTGTCAGACAAAATCATAAGCTGACTTGAAAACATTTCTTGCGGTTATTTTAGTTTTTTTCCCTTAATTTGACAGCAGAATAGAGATTGACAGCAAACATTAGGAAAGAAAGGAGGGATGGCACGCAAAACAAATGTTCCCAGCCAAATGTGAACCAGGGACATTGCATTTAATGCGTCATACCACTAATACACCATGACACCTCTGGAATGATCCACTTTAGTTCAACTTCTTTAACAGTTCAGTTAAAATTGGCGTCATATTAGGTTTTGATTTATTACAAGGCCAAAGCTCTTTGAGAAGCAGAGGTCTGATATTTTGGTTATTCATTAGCTTTATTAGACAGTTTATTTTCCTTTAGAAGGAAGTACTTCTCAGGTCCAGATGTAAGATAGAAAGGACAGGTCGTTCATCATTAGATGATGCATATTTTAGCTCATGGTTAGAGCACTTTTCCAGACATGCAGAACATACTAGGCAACCCTTCCACAGACTTATTAACAGACTTTTGTTTAAACAAATTTAACATAACAAATAGGGAAAGATAGAGATGCATTGTCTACAGAGGCCTGAGAAATAGGCCCAGGGATAGGCATAATCCAAGTAATTAAGAATAATAATAAAGGAAATCACACCTGGTTGTGACTCAATACGGCCCGATTTCCTGGATACATTGTTAAAGCTTCAGTTCAGAGGAGAGGGCAGAGTCAAAGTATAAAAGTAGTACAGACTAAATACTCACTCCTCTAGCCTAAAATGAAGCCAATTAATTTCAAACCAATTATACAATAACTGCACGTTTCTTTAATCTTAACTCCAGTGAGCCAAACCCAGATAGTGGAAAATTAATGGAAGATTTAGTTTTGTAAATAAATCATATTGCTTAGCTTATTGTGCAATATCTTCTAAAACCAGAAATGAAGATTACAACAATATTTGTAACAGAAACTGATTTTATATTTCATTTTGTGCAACCTGTCATTTTTTCAGGAGTAGAGGGCTCTGTCCTCCTGAGGGTGGATAATATCCCATTTTGGAACCAAACTCTTCAGTTTGAGTTGTTGCACATATTGTTCAGATTTTAAAAACCAAGGAATAGAGTTTTTCTCAACAGCTTTCAGTGTAATTGGCCCGTTCTTGTTCTGGAGGGCACTTTAGGAGATTTGTTGAAGGTAGAGCCAGTACGTAATTATCCCTTTACTGTGTCATAGTGTGGAGTTTTGCTATGAATGCTGGATAAGATTGTGAGAGTAATTTTCTGTTTCAGAGCCACAGAAATGTTTTTTTAAACTACACACCATTTTGTTTATATCAAGTTTTTCTCTCTGACAGTTATAGAAATTAGGTGCAAATTCCAAAAGCAAACTTCTACGTAGGCGTATAGCTGATGATGATGATGACACATGAGCTGATTCAGTAACTGAACTTGTGACATTTCAGTTACATGACTATCTTCTTAACCACTGATTTGACCGTACCACCATTATAATTCTGCCAGGAACACTTGTGTAAGTGGCAAATCGAGACAGAAATACAGTTTGACTTGGTGGTGTAATTCTACTCTTGGGGATGCCCTGCAGCAGTAATGCATGGAATACATAGCTACATGATAAATAACAAGCAGGGAACACTGCAAATAAGACTCTCTAGGGTGTGTGTGTAGTAGGGCCAAAGCAGGTGGAGGCAGTTGGGGGTCGGGTGGGGTGGGGGGGGTGGGGTATGGGCCTTCACTAATAGAATCAGTAACAGCAGCAAAGCTCACGTGAGCAGACAGACTGAGAGTGTGAAAGCATTTAAGCAGAACGCCAAGTCAAGCCAGTGAGACATGAGGATTAGGGTGGGCTAGCTGTCAGAAGACACAGCATAGCATGACGCACAGTGTCCAGCCAGAATTAGTTCAATTAAAGCATGCTGGTAATGCATGCAATAATATAAAAGAAATATTCAGTATGTTACTAAGCTGCACAGATTCTGTGGTTTGGTGGCCATGGTAATAGTTAAATACACATTTAACTCGAATGGCCTCTAAATTCTATTTTAGACCATGGAAAAGCTTTATAATGCATACTGCATTGTGATGAGCAAACCTCAGCTGAATAATCACTCACACTGCAGTGATTGTCTAAACAGATGTTTATTGTTTGTTTTTTTTTCAATAATTTTTTAGAATTCTATGGGATTCTGATTTCTGACATATCCAGTTTATATAGAGAATATATTGTTTTTCCTGGCTTACTTTGTAAGTATTTACTATGTTTTGCATCAAAAATTTGGACATTTGTCCAGCCACTCACCATCACAATAGATTTCATTTCCAAAATGTGTAATCCCTTTGATGTTTGGAGGTGGGGGTTAAAGGAGTAGTTCAACATTTTGGTAAATAAACTTGTTTACCTTCTTGCCAAATGTTAGATGATTGATACCAATCTCATGTCTGTAGCTTAGCAAAAAGACTGGAAATGAGGAGAGACAAGCCTGGCTCTGTCCAAAAGTCAAACAATTTCCACCTGCCAACACCTCTGAAGCTCATTTATTAATATATTATATCGCGTTTGATTAATACATACAAAAACTGAAAATGACGCTGTCGCCCAAGGGGTTGCCTGACAACGGTTGGGTACCATTAACATTTGAACTGATACTGCTACTTGGAATTACTCTCTCTGTAATAACAAAATGCAATTTCAGTTGTAAAAAATAATTCCAAACTTCTCTCACTACTTGCATACTTGCAAAAATACCGATTCACGTACTGTTTTAGCTTATTAAATAGCATGTTAGTAAGAAAGTGCTAATAATAATAATAATAATAATAATAATAATAATAATAATAATAATAATAAGTAGCTAATGCTAGTAAAATCAACTACGGCAGTGAAAAAATCCCAGTTATCTCCAACAGCAATTTATCCAACTAGTTAATAAATAACCTGAAGATGTCAATGCCTCACATAAAGTTTTTTTGTCTATCGAGGTTCTATGGCACTGGCTGCAGGTGTGCTAATGTTAGCTGCGGTTGCCGGAGGGGGTTTGGCTTTCATCAAACATGGAGCATTTCTCCGCTTTTAGATACATTTTGTTTTTGACCAGTTGTTTCCTCATTTTAGATAGCCACCTTTGAATTTTGCATTACAAACATTGCAGTGAGTGTAACCATGCTTGCGTCCGCTTTCGGCTCGCCATTGCGCTGACTAACTGTAACTTGAACAAGCTGCAGGGGTGACGTAGTCTCGCTCTCTCTCTTTTTCTCTACTAGAAATTACTCTTTCGCCAGGTACCAACATTTGGCACTGATTGATTTACCGTAAAAGGTACTTGGTAGTACTGATGTAATTCAGTCTGTACCTTTAAAAGTACCGGGTTCGGTACCCAACCCTCGACCCTACTGGCAACTACACAGGGACAAAAAACTCCAGGAAGTCACTGTACCCCGCAAAGGAATAGTCACGCTTATAACTCCCTGCAAAAAACAGAAACACCTGGTTGTTGTTCGGGTTAAACAAACAAGATGTTTGCTGTTAATAGGGAAGCTTTAGAGGTGTTCATAGATGGATTTTGTTACGGGAGCCAGGGTAGCTGTTTCCCCATTTTCCATCTTTGTACTTAATTAAGATAATCAGCTGCTGGTTGCAGCTTCATACACAGACATGAGAGTGGTATCTAACTATTGGCCAGAAAGCAGCGTATTTCCTAAAAATTCACCTACAAAGTTCTATGATTCAGTTTAATTTTATGCTGCCACTCTTTTTTTTTTTTTGCAAATGGTGGAAATTATTTTGGGTCCACACTACTCATATGTATTTAGTTTGTATTTAGTTTATTTAGTTTAGTTAGTAGTATAAACTATACATTGATGGTGCTTCAGCATCATAGAAAATAAAGAGAATATTATATCAGATGGGGAAAACAGCTGGAAAATGTTGAAGATCAACAATGGACCTAAATTCAATACAGAGCCATGCCAAACCAGACCAGACTAAACTAATGCTTGGTTTGATGTGAACTACGAGGGTATAAATACAGATTTTTTGAATCGCAGTGAGACTTAAATTCTTAAACTGGAAGAATGTTTGGGCCCCAATTAGGTAGTGTTTGAAATTGTTTCCAAGCTCAAAATTTGACAGTCCCTGATGGGAGGACTGGCTCCTAGTGAGACATTCAGGACAGCCGGACATTATGCTGAGATGTACAAACAATTCAAAAAGAAACAGGGAGGGAGGTGTTACCTAACATTACCAGCTGGCCATCATCTCCTCCTCCAGCAAGCCCCAAAAGGTGGCGCTGTCTTTGATAACTGTAATGTCCAGTGTGTCATAGTGCTGACTCCTTTGTACATAATAGTGCCATACAAGTGCCAAAGTGACACCATAGAAGTGTTCTGTAATGTCCTGCAGAGTACTTTGTCTCACCACGCTGGAGCTCCGAGCAGATCCTCCAGCTATATGTAGCCTTTCTGTGATATCCCTCCACTTACTTTCACCATATCATACAAAAGTGTCCCAAAAACATATTGCCTATAAAATATTGTATATGGGTCTAGAAAACAGTATTATTTAGGATGTAATAACTGTTAATATGTAGGACTTTTCTACTAGTGAAGGTATTGTCTAATTTAGATTAATCTCTCTTTCCATCAGTGGCAAAGCTGATAACTGTTTGTTGCTTTGGTCCAAATAAAAACAATACTTTGCTTGAAATAAGTGGCACCAATGTTAAGCTATTAGCCTGACATTGTACAGTAGATACGGTTGACTGTAGAAAATCAGCCAAACTTCACTGATAGCAGTCCTGCACCTGTGCCTGGATATTAAGCTCTACTCTGAGACTTTCTGATGGGAGCCTATGTTGTGCCATATCAACCTGTGCACTGTAACATTCAACACTCGCGAAGAAGAAGCCAACATATTCTAGGTCTGTCTAATGCGCTGGCAAGTGTGACAGCGCTTGCTTGACCTTGTATTCACCTGCGGCGCCAGGACTGTTTTGCCTTGTGATGAGAAAATAACTTTGGAGCATAAATGTTTTTTTACATCCTATTTTTCTCATTATTCTCTTTTGATGACCTTGCCTTGTGGTAACAGCAGGATGACTTTTATAGTGGAATCTTTAGTGACAGAAGTATTGACATATGAAGAGTTTACTGCCAAAATACGACATTTTCAGACAAAAAAAGTCCTGAGATTTATCATTAAAGAGACATTTTAACATCAATGGACAGCTGTCCTGTAAATAGGTCCATAATTTGTTTTTCGTTGCTGTCAATTATTTCTTATGGATAGTCACATTTTGTAAATGATGTATGTTATTTTGGAAGCAAACTCTTCGTATGTAGATAGATAATCCCTCGGTTTGAGCCTTTAGGCAGCATGTTGCCTTTGATTCAAGTGAAACCACGTGCTAACCATGTTAGTGACGGTTTTAGAGTGATGTATTTGATTATGTTGTCGGTGGTATTCAATGTGTGAATTTCATGGCTCTTTGCAGGAGGACCTTTGAAAAGTAAAGGGCATTGAAATAGGAAAATATCACCTATATTTTCAAAGCATCACTAAAGATTTTTAGATATGCTCTATTGCTTCTTTGATTTGTTTTCTTTTTTCGTTAAATTATATGAATTTATATTTAAAAGCTTTATGTTCTGTATATTTCTTGGAAAAGATTACATGATTGTATGTTTATTGTAAATACATTAAATATACTATTTTTGTTTTTAATATGACCTTTTCTGCCTGACTATTAGCCTATCAACAAACAAATATTTTTCACCAGATAATGTTTACATCTAAGAATGGTTGTAGAAAAAAACTGAGGGTGTGCATCTCATTGAGGCTGTACTCATCTAAATGCTAACATGCTCACAGTGACAATTAACATGCTTAAGAATGTAATGTTTAGCCATGTTCACCATCAGTTTAGCCTGTTACCATGGTAACATGTGTTAATTAGCACTAAACACAAAGCACATCTTAGGCTGAATGTCATGTTTTGGACGTATTTGGACATAAACCAAAATATCATAAACCAAATTTTGACCTGATGATGATGCTAGATGGAACGTTAAGGGTTATTAATGTTATTATACTTCATCTGGAGGGATGCTTGAATGTACCAAATTTCATGGCCTTCCATCTGAAAGTTGTTGAGACAATTCAGTCTGGCCCAAAGTGGTGGACCAACTATCCACAGAGCCGCACTGCTGGCTAAAACCACAAATAGTCACAAAATACAGTATTTAGCCAGAGGGGTTGGGATCCCACAAGGGGCCCAATGGTAAACCTTGAGCGGTTGTGAGCTGATTAGCAAGACAGAAAGAAGAAGAAAATATATTTCAAAATATCATATTACCTTCTCAGGACTCTAAAATTGATTATGAACCAAACAATCTAAAACCAAACTGGCTGAAGTGCTGACAGCTCATTTACTGTACATATACAGCCCGTAACATGGGGTCGCTAATAAAAATGTGTTGGCCGTAAAAATGTTGGGAACCCCTACATTAGATGGTGATATAGAGAATACAAGATACTTAATCTTTATTTGTTTAGACATTTCTTTCAAGCACAGATGCTATGATGTAGTTTGCAATATGACATGCAGAGCCATGCTTGTGGTAAAGGGCTGCATTCACTTGGTCAGTGCTTTGTCAGATAAGTTGAAAGGTCACATTTTCTTTTTCCCTCTCTAAACGCACTGACAGAGGAAGATAAATCCTGATCGAAATGTGCTTGTGCTTTGCCATGATCTAATTTCCTGTCATTCTAGCCCTCTGGTTATCCCCGGGCCTCCCTGCTGCGCTACAACAGCCAGTGGAGATAATAGCCGGGGTTATGGATTGACCGGTGGATCACCTTGTACTGCTGCTTTGAGGAAGCGATGTACGTGTTCAGGGCCAGGTTGCAGCGTTGCTTTTATGCGAGAGCTGGGCCTGAGAGCTCTCCTGTTTCTCGAGTGCAGACGGGGTCTTGCCGGGGCCACGGTGCAGTGAAATGGAAAGCATGCCATTCCCTGTTCCACTTGATGCCGAGTGACTGTGAGAGGTTGTGTCATGTTCCTTGGCTATTGACTCAATGACTTGGGACTTCACGACAAAAGCCTGAACCCGTGCGGGCTCTCTGCGTGCTGACAGAGAAATGTGTCTTCCACTTGTCTTCACATTGACCCGAGGACTCTGCTGGACTGACGTGTCCACATCCCCAAAGTCTCACCTCCTGGACCCAGAAATAACCTTTGCACGACCTCGTCTGTCTTTCACGCTCTGTTAGCTGTGGGTCTGGCTGCTATCGAAACATTTCACTGAACTTGTGTTTTTTTACTGATATAGCTATGGATTACCTGTCTGTGGCAGTCAACCTATTCAGCTTCCGCTACATGGATGACATGGCTGAGAATTCAGCCTTATGTGCCGCATATTATTCACTGTCACAGTGGGTTGAAAAGTCAAGGCACAGAGTAAGCACAGGCCATTAGCTGGTACTGAAATGACAGCACAAAGAGCCAGACCTTGATGGCTGTCTCTGCCCTCAGGTTTCATGCAGAAGACAAAATCACCATGTGCCCTTCATTTGTTGGAAAAATTAGGATATCTGGACTTGCCTCACTTCAAATAAATGATGATATATTCCTCCATACGTTGTATGCAAAAAGGATTATTCTGCATATTTGACTAATGCCTTGTCTTGTGACGTGGCTCTGACAGCTGACCTGATTTATTGCAAGGTTCCCTGCATTGTTAAAAAAACAATCTCTGACTCAGTGACAACGGGCCAATTATCCTTTTCATGCAGAAAAGGTCCATGTACAAAAGAGGCTGTGAATTGCAAATCCAGTTGCGGGCTGTCCTTGCTCTCCTCTAATCTAATAATGTGATCCATCATTTCAGCAGCGACGGCTCTACACCCCAGGCATGGAAAAGAATCCCACAGAGGATTAGTATGAAGATGTTTGCATATCCACATATGCAGTCCTGAGAGGCTGTGTGGAAAAAGGAATCATCACAAAAATATATTTATAATAATGTGTCAAGTTGCATTTCCTGTGTCCAGGCCTTAAAAAAAGACTTTCTTCATTACATATTTCCAGACTAAACTGTTATTGGTTGTTAGTAACCTTCCAAGCCTGTACTTGACATTCATAACCAGCATAGGTGTCTTTAGGAAAGTAAGAATCACTGTTTCAGGCAGAAAAAAACCTGTAAAACTCTGTTTCCTGCTCAGTAGCGGCGCTGTTGGTTGAGGGATAGTCCTGTTGCAGAATCATCCATTACGCTGATGAGCCTGCAGCCCCTGAGCTACGACAGCACAGCCACACGATGAGCGAGACAGGCGACTGCCACTATTTGTTCCACTAAAGCATTCATCACACTAATTACCCATGGTGCCAAGCAGCTCCTGTAGCCTAGTGAAGCTTTGGCTGCTCGTTTGGAGCCGAGGTGAGGTAGGGAAACCTCAGATGAGTCTAAACAGGAGGTTGTCCTCTTTTTGTAGCTCTCCTGCACATAATTAACGCAGCACTCGAGCAACTTGACAAATTGGAATGATGAATCTGGCCTCTATGAATAGATACAAATATGTGATCAATCAAAATAACGGACAGTGTTCTCAGTCTGAGGAAATGTGCCGCTGTGAAGGACAAAGAAGTGTCTTTGCTTTGAATGACATTTGGTCCTGTGGTAGAAAAGTGAGAGGGTCTTTGTTGGGTTTTTGCCTGCAAAATGTAGACGCAAGTGAGAGCCAAAAGCATGGTGTAGAGAAAAGTGGTTGCAAAATCTCACCATTTCATTATTAAATGCCAATTTAAAACCACTATCCTGTCCAATTTCTCATGCACAATGGGTGTTTTTATTTATTTAAAGGACTACACAAACATGCAACCTGCCTCCCACCCTCTTGGAATACTGTAACTGTTTCCAGATGTGGACAGATGTGAAGGGACAGCCTCTCTGAATTACAGTCATTTATGCCACCTGACCTTGAAAAGCACCAAGAAAGACTCTGTTTTTGAATTTCTGTGTCATTCAGACAAGCCTCCAACTGTCCATGTCCCTCCTGGCCTTCACACAGCCGTCTGAACCAATGTAACATCCAGTACATCACAACATCCCAGCATCACCTCCCCACAGTGGCCAGAGATCAACAGATCAAGGACAAGGCAACTTCTTGGAAGCACCAAATCCTGCCTCCTTAGTTTGAGAGTTTCACTACTGCTCACCAACCAGGGAAAGAAAAACCACTTGAGTAAATGACACTCCTTTAACCCTAAGATGCACAGGTCTTTGGAACCTCCACTCTTCTATAGCTGGGTCAGAAATGACACGTATTAGAAGAAACGTTTTTTTATATATATCATCTTCATAATTTGCCTTAAAATCATTTGAATTCCACATCAGCAAGTTTGTAATTGTTATCATCAGTCGTTATCAATCTTTCAAATATTAATTTGTCTCTCTAAGTGATGTTCCTTAGCTACTAAACTCTGGCAACAGTTCATCCACATCTACAATAATAGAAGATTAGAAGCTGACGTTAGTTGTACAGTAGGATGATTTAAATGTAATATCAGATATTCATTATATAAAACATCTATACTGTATACTGTCCCAGTGTAAGTAACTGATAAAGAACAGTTCCTATTCATTTCCACAGGAAATTCATACAAAAATACTGTGCATTTTGCTCATTTGAAGTTGTTAATGTCTATTTCAGTAATTAAAATAGCACAAATGACAACACACTACTGAATAAGTATTTTTAAATAACCAGTTTTCTTCTCTTTGTATTCATGAGTGCAATCAACACACTTTTTCAGTATTTATGCATAACACTCCAGAACAATGTGCAGATGTTAATATAACCAAAACACTTGTACTTGTGTCATACAGTGTCACAGAGACCGAGGGCAGCAAAAAACAGTTTTATTTCACTGTAAAGATTCTCTCCATTCAAAGTTGAGTTGTATGTATTTTGATCATTTACTCAGCTATGTGGGTTAATCTTGTGCCAGATAATGAGTTCTAGTCTGACTGAGGTCAAAGGTTAAGTAGGGCTCTGTACAAGTCCTAATGAGGATCCCTACACTTTGCCAGGACGGCTCAGTTCATAACTGGGAAGACCGTTGGTGGTGCGTTATCATTGCACACTGACATGTAGCACAATGTGCCTCTCAAGCATGAAATTTTCCTCATGGCGAATGCCGCAGCGGCCCCGAAGGGGTCAAAGGTCGGCAGTCTGGGGTTAATGAAAGGAGAAAAGCAGTCCGGCGGTCACAGGTGAAGCCATGGTTGAAGTGCACTAATCTAACTGACAAGTTATTGCTCCTCTCTGCCCAGTGTTTGACCCTGTTTAGCAGCCTAAGAGATGATTTGTTTCAATGGCTGTCAAGGGTAACAGCAAGGAGACAATGTGCCTGCTCTATGTACTCTACAGCATCCATTGTCACTTTTTTGAGACTGAGAATTAGAAAATGACAGTAAAAATTACATTTTGGTAAAGTACAATTAACTGTTTAAAGTCACTTTTACCTTACATACACATCACTATTTTGACCTTTACTTTATTATAATCCAACTTTGACCGATCAAACTTTGGCTTTAAGAAGTAATTCTTAAAGTTATATCTTTATGTGAAAGAGATATATGTTTTATATTCAAAGTCAAAAGTGTGCTCATATATGTTGCCTCACTAGGCCTCCCTCAGGACTCAGTGGGCATGTACACACTACAAATTCTTTCTACATTCCTGTAAGTTTTTTGCACCGCTTTCACTGTGGTCACATTACGTTTCTTTTCAACAAAATTTACCTGTGTGAAATTTGGCCCGACAAAGGATCACACACTGTAAACAGTCTATGAGAGCTACAAATTGTAGTATTGGTAGTATGATAATGTACTAAATATATTGACAGAGCACAGTATAATAATAACTTAAACTCTCATGTAATTTCCAGCGTAGCTCCACCCATTGTCATTCTGACTGGAGGTGTAGTCAGCCAGGGTAATTGAAAAGGCCTGTGTGGGTGTCATATTCATATCCTCTTAGTCCATAAAGAGAATGCCACAATTGCCAACTTGGTTTGATGTACTTATTTAGGTAGTTGCAGATTTCAACCCCTTAGTCTCACACTCCCCTTCCAAGCCTGAAGGAGAATCTTCGGTGGCTGCGACTGGCCCTGTCTAGACCCAGTGTTAGGTTTGTCCCTTCAGGGCTACTGAAGAAACATGGTGATTCAACATCGCAGACTCCATGAAAGATAAAAACGACTCATTGTAAGGTAAAGAAAACACAACAATGCTTATTTTCAGCCGATTATACACTAATGAAAATGAATGTTATATTCAATTTGTGCCAATAGATCCTCCTAAATGTTACACACTGGACCTTTAAATGTATGTGTTTGCTTAGTAAACTTAAGTAAATTTAATGTCAAATATTTTTTTGATAATTATGATTAGAAATAATAATTGGTTAAACTGACATAAGGAAAGTATGCCACCAATCAAATTATTCAACCATACATTTAAAAAATGGCATTGGTATGCACTGGTAGTATGTGTTGGTCTTTATACAGACCATAACCCTTCATGGCTCCCCTTTAGAGTCCATATTATATATGTTACAATTTAACTACATCAATTTGGGGTTTACCATCCTGTTTTCAAGGGGGTGGACCTGTAGGTTGGGTGGCCTCCGCTTTAGGTCCTGGTAGGCAAATCGTGTGATAGTGATAGTCTCCCAGAATGCATTTAAGATAAGCTGTCCCACAGCTCTCTCTCTCTCTCTCTCTCTCTCTCTCTCTCTCACTCCCCTGCTGGCTCTCCCACATGCACTACTCATTAGTTCTGTTTGGTTTGGTTGGTATTAGTATATGCAGTTGTTTGATTTTCCCATACAGCCATGTGTTTCCTTCACTTTGTTCGTTGTGACATTCCTCGATCTGCATGCTCACTGAGGCTATGAAACACCCACAGGAAGATATTAGAAAGGCTGCAGAATACTTTTAGATTACAACCATTAATCTCATTAACATAATGAGCTTACACCACACCCATTTACTCTGATTTCCAAGAATACTAGTGCATTGTCTGAGAATACAATTAGCATAATGTACTAAACACTCTCAATTAAACTTTAAACCAATTTTTTTTACCAATTTCTAAATGTCATAAGTAATTTTTCAGCAAAGTAAATCAATCAATCTGTGGTCCTGTTTTGACCCTCACAGAGTGTCTCACCTTGAGCAGACCTGTTGTACAGTACTTCCACTGTGTCTGTCCCTGACATTAAACACTCTGTGGATTTAACAGATAATCATATGGTGGTCACAGGGTAAAGAGCTTAGTGGGGAGCTGTAATTCAACGATATACGTGGACGTAGCTACCTTGAAAAAGGCCTAAAAAAATGCTGCAGGTCTCAGAGTAGAAAATCATCGCTGCCTCCCACTGTGCTGCAAACACTCTCACATTCAGGTGGTCTCGCACACGCATCAGGTCTCTCCTGGCCATACGCTCCCTTATTTTGTCTGCAATTAGCTAGGTTTCAGCTCCCCTCATGTGATAAGTCTTAAAGGGCACCAGATCACCAAAAACAGGGGGGGATTTATCAACTTTAAACTCCCAAATCTGTGATTAATGTTGACTGGACTCGTCGCTACAGCGGGGACGGAAAGAGTTCAGTGCATTAAACTGTGGAGGAATGCATCATCTCCGTCCAGTGCACTAAACACTTTAGCCTTGACCTTCCACTGTTGATTGGTCTTGGATGTCAGCCATGTGTTTTGTTAGCAGGCAGAGCAGAGCTTGTTTTGTGTGTGACTTGAGCAGTCACTGAATGACTGCAAAGCTGGCCGTCTGGAAGAACGTGACGGCACACTCAGCCGCAGGACTCATGGAGCTGTATGAGTCAACAGTGATAAAGCCATGCAGACATTTTCACATGGCGATGACAGAGCCTCTATTGATATAATTTAATCTCTGAAAAAAAAAATCAAGCACATCAGGAGCTTAAAGTAGTGCAGTATGTGGAGATGGCACAGGCACAAGAGGACAACACAGCACATACTGTATGACCTTAGAAATTCAAAGCAGTGTTTCTACTGTAGGTGCAATCATGCATTGTGACATGCAGTGGGTTTCTTTGTTATACAGTCTATATTAAAAATCAATATAAGATATGTCTCCCACTAGTTGTAAAGACTCTTAACAGTACTAGTAGGAGACATCTACACATTAAATCTAAAACAGGATAAAACATAATGTGTGTGCTGGATCAGTCCAGTGTGTTTGGCCTCTGTGACAGAAATGGCAGAGCCTTTGGTTTTCTTTAAATCTTTATACGTAGTTGATTATATGGGCAGGGTTAAAATCAGATTTAGATTTGAAACTTATTTTACACATGACACATAGCTATACAAAACATTGATTATTTTTGGTCTTCATGTTTGGCATTTGAGTGGACTATGTGATGAAAATCTTTGATTAAAGCAATGAGACGGAACAGTGGGAGCAGGGATGAAAACCAGTGACACAGTGTCCTTGACGTTCTTGGTAAAATTGTAATTAAGTAGTGTAAAAAATAAATTTAAGCCAAAGTAATAACTTTTTCATTTACTAAAAATGTTATTTTTATAATATTCATCAGTGTGTTTTTATTAATGTATTATCACCTATAAATAAGAATTGTTGTGTTTTATTTACCTTAGAATTAGCCTTTTATATCTACATAAAGAGTAGGTCCTCTTCCACAGAGGCCGCCATGTTTCTACAAACCAAACCAAACACTGCTCACCATAGTTTCTCCTACACGCTGGGAAGGCTGAGCTGTATTCAAATGGTTGCAATCTTCAACTTCACAGGTAGATGCCACTAAATCCTACACACTGGTCCTTTAACTGAGAGTCAATCACTGTAAGTGGCTTCACATTTGGTCAGTTTATGATGTAACAGTTAATTAAAACAAATTTATTATGAAAACAGCATAAAATGGGGGCACATCTGAAACACATGGAAACAGAAAATAGTGGTACAGAAAATGACAGTCAGGCTTGAAAAAGTGCAACAGAGATGGTGAGAAGTAAATAAAACATATTATCCATATATGTTGGTTGGGCACTTTAAATAACATGCATGATGAGGACAGTTCATTAAAAATATAGTAAAGTTTATCTCCTCAAGCTGTATAAGTGCAAATGCATCCTAGTCATCTGTACTTTTCTGTGTAATTTACTAATGACACTAGGTGGCATCAAATTACTGCAGTTAGGATCTGCTGCTTCTGCCCATGTGAGACTAATGAAGTGTGAGCTAAAGTATGTCCTCTCCTTATATTTCAGAGTTTATAAGACAGAGACAGAGTCAAGTGTCTCACAGAATCACTGCAAATATTGGAGTCAAGTAGCCGGTGCAACACACACACACACACACACACACACACGCACACTTACACACAGGAACACAGGGAGGGAAGACAGAAAAGATCAGGGGAAGGGAGAGGCAGGAACTAATGCTACACTCAGTAGTGTGTAACAACAAAAATCCAAGTGGAGCCCCATGCTGCTGCTCACAGAGCAGCTTCTCCTCGCGTTAACCCCGCCCCAAACACAGACGTCATCGAGACACAGCCCGTGACGTGTGGACGCACCACTCTCCTCCTCCGTCCCGGAGCAAAGCATCATCAAAATCATCATCCATCACCCTCTCTCTCCCTCTCTCTCTCCCTCTCTCTCTCTCTCTCTCTCTCTCTCTCTCTCTCCTTCCTCTGTTGTCTTTTTAATGTAACTTCTGACTGATCGGGAGAGCAGGGAGCGTCTGGAAAGCCTGGTCCGGCGACTCCATCTCTGATGAAGGATCTGCTCGAGCGGTGTTCCGTTTAAAGCTGGACACACAAGACAGAAAGGATCAGATTGTGTATTTTTGGGGATAACGTTGCTTTCCTCCGAGGATTTTGGCTCAGTGTTGTCTGTCTTTATGTTTCCCCACTGTGGATGTTATAGTGCATTATCTCGGGCTGAATGAAGCTTTCTTTTTGGATTTCCACCGCGCCGAGGTTGTTCCTGGGTCACTGCCCATTCTTTACTTGTGAGGTCGCGCGTTATAATTATATTGCCGTTATTTTATGAGCTCTATTCGCATTTCGAGGCGTAACTTGTATTTAATTTAGTCGAACAATGCCGCAGTTTCCTTGAAAGTGTACTAGTCATTCATGCAGACAGATCGCGTGCGTTAATTATCGCGTAAAAAGAGGAAAGTTGGGCGCGCAAAGTTTTGGAGACGGTCGATATGGCTATGGTGGCGTGGAGAAACACCGAGGGCGTCGGGGACACCCAGGGGACCCTCTCTTCCCCGGTGTCCCAGGTCGCACCTCTGTCTCTGCCCGGGGAGCTGACGGGACACATGAACCCGGCGCCCTCTCTGGAAATACCCCCGGCGGCAGCAGCACCCCAGGGCGCACCGCCGCCCAATCCGTCCAGCACCGCCGCCGCCACCAACAATAACAACAACACCACCACCTCTTCCTCCTCCTCCTCCTCCTCCATGGACAAACAGCAGAGCCAGCAGATCGAGTGCATCGTGTGCGGGGATAAATCCAGCGGGAAGCACTACGGACAGTTCACATGTGAGGGATGTAAGAGCTTCTTTAAACGCAGCGTCAGGAGGAACCTGACCTACACCTGCAGGGCCAACAGGAACTGTCCCGTAGACCAGCACCACCGCAACCAGTGCCAGTACTGTCGCCTCAAGAAATGCCTCAAAGTCGGCATGAGGAGGGAAGGTACGGGCTGGCGTCCTCCTGTTGTTACTATCGGTATTATCACATCATATTATCCAGCACCACACGGTTCAGGACTCAGTTCAGTTTCACACAACCCTCTGTATTTATCGACATTATTTTCTTTGACCACATGTCTGTCCTGTAGACTGCTGGGAGTTTTGTGCATGCTACATTTGTACAGCTAGTGTAATTTATTCCTGGACACGGCCATCAGTGTTGCCTTTGTCTAGTCCCTCATACAGTAGCCCAGAGATATTTCCTCCCATTCATATTCTATTAATATTAGACTAGTGTGTCGGATACTAGTCTCTGTAGCCTACTAGGCTATCTCCAGTGTCTCGCCTGTGGTGTTACAGAAATTAGTCTGGCCCAGCTAGCATCTCGTAGCATGTTCAGTATATTATTGTTGCTATTCGCCGGCTGTGTCCGTCCTGTGTGGCCATTGTGTGGCCGAAACAGCCCGCAGCCGCTTTAAATGTCACGTGCTTAAATTAAACAGTGATTTTGCTACATTTTAGCTTAATTTCGATTTTATTTTTTCGTTTAAATTGTAGCTTTCAAGCCCGTGGCGTTTTTGGTAGATTACGCTACATGTTCTTGTGTGTGTGTGTGTGTGTGTGTGTGTGTGTGTGTGCGTGTGCGTGTTTGTGTGTGTGTGCGTCTGCTCGTATTCATAACGTATGCTGGTCGGATAGGCCCAGCATAGCCTACTGTAGCCTCATAGTACAGCTCCTGACATAACTGAGGGACATTGGAGAGTTTCCAGAGCAGTTGGGCTGTAGAGTTGAATAAAGTTGAATGCAGGTTTCATCACCAAAAATTGAGGAGAGTAAAAACCCCACAGGTGTATCAGTCGACTATTAAAGTTGGTAGGCCTACAAGCGAAAGTAGCTAATATTAGTAATATAATATTATATATAATGAATAATATAGACAATATATTTTACAATAATAATATACATTATATATAAAATCACAATGCATGAATTCTAATATATTTACAAATCACTATTAGAATATAGTTTTGCTCTTGAATTGAAACAATTTGGGAAAATAATGAAGAGCCTTCAAAGACCTACAAACAGGCTGGAAACGCCATTATCTGCACGTTGGCCTAGAAATAGATTTCAATGGGCACCGAGCTGAATGTGACATTTCCTTCCAGGAGCTGTCTAAAACAGTTATTCACGTCCATTTATGAAGAGCTAGTCTACCTACAGGCTACTGGCCGTGGAAATGAACTCTAATGGCTGAAGGCCTAAGTGTGTGTGTGTGTGTGTGTGTGTGTGTGTGTTAATTGACACCTCTGGTTCTTATAGATATATGCCATCTTCTGCATTTTACTGTTATTTTTTTTTAAATGTCGTGTGTTGTAGTTAATCGCCTTCTAGCTTGATTTGACATTTGTGCTGTTTGTGTGGTTGCAGCTGTCCAGAGAGGCAGACTTCCCACCCAGTCTTACCACGGCCAGTTCGCTCTGACAAACGGAGACCCTCTGCAGTGTCACTCCTACCTGTCGGGCTACATCTCTCTCCTGCTGCGGGCCGAGCCCTACCCGACCTCCAGGTTCGGCTCTCAGTGCCTGCAGAGCAACAACATCATGGGCATCGAGAACATCTGCGAGCTAGCGGCCCGGATGCTGTTCAGCGCCGTGGAGTGGGCCCGCAACATCCCCTTCTTCCCGGACCTGCAGGTGACGGACCAGGTGGCCCTGCTCCGCCTCACCTGGAGCGAACTGTTCGTCCTGAACGCCGCACAGTGCTCCATGCCCGTCCACGTCGCCCCACTGCTGGCCGCCGCCGGCCTCCACGCCTCCCCGATGTCCGCGGACCGGGTGGTGGCCTTCATGGACCACATCCGGGTCTTTCAGGAGCAGGTGGAGAAGCTCAAGGTGCTGCACGTGGATTCGGCAGAGTACAGCTGCATCAAGGCCATCGTGCTGTTTACCACAGGTAAAATCCGCTTCTCTGTGGCTGAAATGTGCGTGTAGCAAAAGATTAAGACTTCTGACCTCCACAGTGATGATCTGGCAAAAAAAAAAAAAAATTTAAGTAAAGAAAGGTGTTGACAGGGTGGTGTGATGTAGTAAATAAAAAGATAATACCGTACACAAACAACCACCAGTATGAACAAAATACGATCTGTTTAAAAAAGACACCACTCTTTAGAAGACTGCTTCAGGGAAAATAAAAGGTGGGCGAAATATTATTTAGATTTTTTTAAAGCGCCCCTATAAAATACCGTTGTACCGGAGTGAACCTTCAATTAGGCCAAAAATAAAAAAATAAATAATAAATACTAAGATGGTTACACCCCCTACAGAAAGCTACTTTTACAGAATATTTTTCTAGGAAATCCATGATGCGCACCAGCTTCCCTTTTCTGTTAAATTGAATCTTTTGGGTTTATGTTCCGTTAAAAGTTGTACAAGAGTTCCCTTATGGTCTGCTTTATTTCACTGTAAAAAAATAAAAATAATGTTATTAGATGCAGAATTTTTATTTTTCCTACAAATTTCAATTCGATCAGAACTCACCTCCACAATCATGATAAAGTTAAAAAAAAAAAAAAAAAGATGTTAAAGCCAAAAAAAAAAAAAAAAGAAAGTTTTCTTTTGAAGTCTTGTAGCTGAAATAATTTCTTTACTGACTAGGATCTACAAAGTTAGTCCGCCCCAGTGGAACACAGTTGAGTTTTTCAGTATTATGAAGTTTATTATTATTATTATAACATTTAGGAGGCTGCCAGTGAGTTTTTGTGGGTTTGCAAACTGCACGAAACCCCTGCAGAAATATAAAGCACTTTACAGGAATCCTATTGTAGCAAATGAAAACAGGGCTAGGTGTTCAACATTTGACAGCACACTATATTTTCTTACATTGTTGCTTCACATAGAAGAATCAGCAAAGTACTTCATCAAATAGACTGTTTTATCTTTTTTACCACTTTGTTATTTTTTTTAAGCCCCATATAGAAAGCGGTTAAATCAACTGAAGTTAATTTGTAGTCTTTAAATTACTTGTTTAAATCGGATAATTCATTAAAATAATTAGATAGGAGAAATTTTGTTTTTAATCTAAAAAATCCAATTTCTCTAAACATTAATTACAAATAATAAAAAATGCAAATAGATGCATTTATTTTTGTTGTGTGTTTAAATTGCTACACCTGAATTTGGCATATAACTAATTCTTTTGTACAAGAGAATAAGTGAAGCTGTTGGTCCCAACTGCATTGCAAAATTTCAGAGGCTTTTAATAAAAGTCAGGACGATGTTTGATGGCTGGATCGTGAACAGGATCAAAAGAATGAGTAGCAGCAGAGTAAAAAAAATAAAAAAGGTCTCCTATGTAGGTCTATTTTAGTCCCCATGAGCACATCTGAACACGTGTCTTTAAACTGGGACACGGAGACCGTTCTTTAACCCCTACTTCAATCCGGCCTGCAGCATTACAGTGCAAACAGGGGTCTGCTGTGTGTAGAAATACTACACACAGTATATGCAAAGCTCTTAAAGAGCAAAGCAGAGTACCTAAGTGCTCTGATACACATCAATAGTTTACTTATTTCTCATTCTGAACCTCATTTTTTAGATTTTACTTGGAGCAATGGCTCTATTTTTGCTTCCATGAGATTGATGAGGTATCAATTCATCTCAATGACAGGGTGATTTTTTTCAGCCTCTTGCTGTTCTGTTTTCACCACAGCACTGACCCGAGTGTAAATTTAGGGATTTTACTTATTTGCGAATTACGTTTTGAAACCTTTGCACATGTACTGTACTTTATTACCTTACCATGTCTGACCGTCTGATGTATTTATTGTTAAATATTACCTGCTCTACTGTTCTGTTACTAGCAGGCTTACTCAGATTGGCTTATTATAAGATAATTAACTACTTGAGTCGTCTCTCTGCAATCCTGCCAGTTCCTTTATTGCAATAACTAATAACTTAAAACACTAAGTAACAATGACAAATGCAAATCATTTCATGTTTGTTGCCTGAAAATATAATTGTTTCTTGTTTCTGGTGGTCTTTTGCCTCGTGATGATCATGGTTCACTTATATAACACTATGTCAACCACTGATTCATTCTGTCGTTCTTATGTGTGCTGTAGTCACTGTGTGCTAACATAGTTAGCGAAATATCTGCAACATTAACCGGTGTTCCTTTTCGATGGTTGAACCACTGGTCTTGACTGCTTCTTCTCCTGTCTGTTTTTTGTGTCGCTGTCGTTCTCTCTGTCTGTAGATGCTTGTGGTCTGTCGGACGTGGCCCACGTGGAGGGTCTTCAGGAAAAATCCCAGTGTGCTTTAGAAGAGTATGTGAGGAGCCAGTATCCCAACCAGCCTAACAGGTTTGGGAAGCTGCTTCTCCGCTTGCCTTCCCTCCGCACCGTCTCTTCTTCTGTCATAGAGCAGCTTTTCTTCGTCCGTCTGGTGGGGAAAACCCCCATAGAAACACTGATAAGGGACATGCTGCTGTCCGGAAGCAGCTTCAACTGGCCCTACATGCCTATTCAATAGAGGAAAAAAGCTACAGTGGTGCTATTAAGGTCAGGAAAAGGTCCCACACCTCAAACCAAGTCATTCCAGTGCACCGTAAAATCTCTGTTGCTTTGAACAAGGGAAAAAAACTGCCAGTGGAAATTAGATAATTACAGGCTTTTCCAATGTAAAAGAATGACCTCAATTCACATGTATTCTTATACCAACCGCCATTTTCTTGATAGCCTACCAGAGGAGAGATCTGCCTTATTCCTCATTGCGTCCCTGTTTATCTAGAAAGGTCCCTGAAATAAGTCGACCGTTTTGCCGACATTAAACAATTTGAACCCAGAATTTTTTACTTGTTCAAAGAGAAACAATGTTTTACGAAATGAGATGACTGGTTATGATGGACATCTTTTGCAGTGTGGTGACCACTCACAGTCTATGGTTTTTGGGATAACAAACAATATTTATTGGACCCTGTGTGTATATTTATCGTGCTTGTAAATTATGTTTTGGCTCCTTTTTTAAATGTTTTATGTATTTTTGGCCCGGCCAGTGAGAAAACTGCAGGGATTGTCTTGTGTCGATCTGCTATGTTTTTTGTTTTTTCTCTTTTTTTGTTTTTCTTTCATATACCTTCCAGACATGGCACTTTGGACTAAAGGAACATTTCAGAAAGATTTAATACAGGTGTTTGAAACCCATCATCATCTGACTTTAACCTATTTGCTCAATTGTGTACAGCCAGAACGGTGAGATTAATGCTGTTTTAGTTATTTTGGATTCATATTCTATTTGCATTATCAACATACAATGAATGAGAAGAAGAAAAACAAAATAAATGTTTGGAAAATGCCCTTATCGTGATCAGGGTTTGGTTGCGCCGAGTAATGCGTTACTCCTTTCATAGATAATATCATTACGTTCTCAGATGAATACATCTTTCATATTTTAGTTAATACTTGATGGCAGGTGTAATTATGTCCTCTCGCCATAAAGTTTCTGTTCTACTCTTTTTGCCTTCTAAGACCAATATTAAAAAAAAAAAAATCTCTTTTGAACAATCAAAAAGCTGAGAACATCTTGTTTATTTCTCATCAAATTAGTGAATTTTGCCACTCAGAGTAATTCAGATTTTCTGTTATTTCTCATCTAAACAGAGATGATTACAAGGCTAAGTATGGCAAAAATAAATACGGGGGAGGAGGCTGAATGTTAGATAGCTGTATGTTTATCTGATAATTTTATATGTCGAGGAAGTCAAATTGTTTCCTTTGGACTGGTAACTTGTTTCAGGGAAAAGTAATGACATTATTTTACTGGATTAACGATTAATGCATTACCAAACACTTCTCATTCCTGTATGTTTCCAGGTCTTTTACACTGACTGTCTCAGAGAGATTTTTAGAGCACTGGGCCTGATGTATACTGTAACGACAGTTTCTTAATGGGATAAATGAACTGTACGCAACTTCCCAGTTCAAGTAACAAATCTGTTTCATTATAAGTCATGCATTTATGAGCCCAGGCCGCTTTATGGCACAATAGACCACTGCAGGGTATTGCTGAACTGAAAGTGTGTGTGTATGTGCGTGTGTGCGTGCGTGTGTGTGTGTGTGAGAGAGAGAGTGTGTATTTGTGTTTACTTCTTTTTGACAACCACTCTGATGTACTGTGAAAGCATATTGGTTAACATATTGGTACCGTATTAAATTATAACTCAAGATTTATAAATAAAGTGTATTTGGTTTATTTTGCCATTTCAATTCTATGTTGTTTATGACCTCCACTCCCAAAAGAAGAAAAAACTGTGTGTCTGTGTGTGTGTGTGTGTGTGTGTGTGTGTGTGTGTGTGTCTGTGTGTGCACGAGTTGGTGTTCTGGAGCCTGTTTGACGATAATATTGTCACCAATCAGACATTTTAATCCAACTAATTGATTCCCATTGACAGGCCTTGTGTGTATGTCAAGATTTATTTAAAGTTGCCTTATTTGAAGACCTGGGAAACATTTCTCCTGCAGTTATGCTACTATGAAACATTTAAAACATTGAGAAAACAACACACACACACACACACACACACACACACACACACACAGACACACACACTGTTCACCCCGTTTCTATTTTAAAGCAGATTTTGAATTTTGGATTGCAGTGGGACATCTTACTAACAATTATTGGACCAAATTAATTCTTTGAATAAAATGATGAATCATTATTTAAAGTGGATATAAACAGTAAAACAAGCATATAAAACCTCTATAAGAAATGAATACTCTTATAGGGAGTAGACCCGAATTATACAAGGTGATAGTTACCTCTAGTTATACAGTGCCGTAAATGTCTGTTTTCACCAAAGTTAAACCAGTTCAACTAATGCTTAATATCACTACTTAACGCTACCTTAACATCTCTTAACACTTTTGTGCTACTGAGGATTCAAAGGTGGTTAAGTGCTGCGTAAAACAAGAGAGCGGAATGAAAACGGAATTATAATCCTGTCTGTGTTGCCAGATTGAGGAGGACAGAGAGGATTAAAGCAGCTTCTTTGCTTCTTAGTGGACAGAGAGCTAATGAGGGGCCCCTGAGTGCTCTGTCACAACAGTTTACCCTGAGGAGGATGAAGCTGGGCGCCGGACGGCCCCTGGGTACTCTGGGCCAAAGGGCCAACATAAAACAATGGAGCATTTTCCCACACACGTACAGGTCCAGAAGAAGAAAAATGCCAAGGAAGGGTGCAATGCAGGAGGAAAATCAGAGCAGTTGGGACAGAGGCTGATCTATAAAGCAGGAGAATCACCAGCACCCAGTCAAACGGCTGTTCATGTGCTTCCGTGTTCAGTTACGTCACTTTTCTAAGATTGGTCCGAGTCATAAATGAGGAAGCACCTCCTCTCTGCTGTTTGTGGGGAACTGAGGCTGGATCAGTCATTAGGCAGCATGGTTCGGACTTAGCCAATCAGCTTCCGTGAGTTAAAGTGTTGAGCCAATCAGATCACTGTTTAGATTCTTTTTTTAATAATATTAACATTCAACATGTCAAGTGAGGACTAACTATTCAACCTGAAGGCTCAGGCCTAGGGAGACTGCTAATAGAGCAATAAATAAACAGTAATAGAATACGCTTAATAGCAACTTATATTCATCAAACTAAACCACAGTTACTTAATAATGTCCAACCCAAATATTCTCTTCAGTGTTTCTGTGGGCTGATGAGATATTGCGTGTTTGCGATGCAAATAAACCTTTTGTGCGATTTTCTTTAACATAGAAGTCACTGTTTTTATTTATTCATTTTTTAAAATTATTATTCGAATCTTGTTTTATGCTGTAAACGCTTCTGTAAAATTCCTGAAAACGGCTAAATACAAAGTAAAATTATTTTCTGAAAAAAATTATATTTTCGGTTTGCGGAAGGATATGACTTCAGATGTGTGTAGTTAATGAATTGTATAGTATCACAGCTGTATCGTTTTCCAGCTGTTCCAAGTAAACTGTAAGCAGGGACCAAACTGGAGCCACGTGGTCTTTTTTTTTAGCTTTTATGGTAGAGCTGGGAAATAAAATCAGCCCTTCAATATAATTAAGCTATGACAATTGCGGCTGAATGTTAATAAATAAAATATTAATCTTGCTCACTGGGACGTGCGTGCCCTACTGCAGACCTGGTTTATTTGTGCTGACTGCAGCTTTGGAAGCCGTTTCAATGACATGCCTAAAACCAATAATTATCACTCTCCAATCTGTAATGACGCCGAACTAGTTCGCCATCATCCCCAAAATATTATTTAAACTCCATTATATCGCCTATCTATCTTTATTTATTTATTTTTAATGTGTAGAAATAATTTTACTGTAACAAGAAATGCGATTATAAAAAAAGGTTTTCAGAGAAGAGAGTTTTGGGGATAATTACTGAAGTGAAACGGTTTTACTCTCAAATGTGTTTTGTCAGAAAAAAAGAAAAGAAAAATAAACCGTAAGTTTTACGAAATTGTCCTTTTGGAAACAAAGCTCTCACACTCTATTTTACAGCGACGCAACGTTGCAGTCGGAATAACGCTGGTTGCTCAACTTTCCTTTAACAAGCAGTCGATGATAATCCAGCTCCTCTTTTTTTCTCTGTGTTAAAATATAAAATATGTTTCACTGGTTTGGCTCTTTGGGGGATTGTGTTAATAAGTCGAACGGAAAACAGCCGCTGGTCGTTATTTCATTGTTTGACTGTTGTGGCTGAAATATATCATACCTTAAATATAGTCCACTTAATATTTTATAACGTAGAGACAGTTTATTTTTATAACCGAATATATTGATTACAAGTTTAAACCAATTGTCTCAGTCACTTCTACATTATTATTATTATTATTATTATTATTATTGTTTTAAAAACTGTACTAAAGCAGCAGTTCTGAAGTATTATAGATTACTGTTATGTAGATTATTGTTCCTCAGCTTTTTCTTTTGCTTTCTTTTTATTTTTTAATTTTAAGGATTTTTTTTAGAATTAGTTTTGTAGATTATTTTTTCTAGTTTGTCTTCTGAAAAGCAAGTCTGAACCTAAAAAAAATTTTCATTAAAAAACACAATCAAATTGTACTGAAAAACGTAATTCAGTAGGCTAGATATATTTTCACTAACTGTTAACAACAAAGCCAATGTTGGGAATGAATGATTATTTAAAAAAAATCTGTATTAGTTTCAGAGTAGGCAAACAACAACAGTAAAAAAATACATTCAATATTCTACAGTCACCCAGTGAGCTTTTTGAACCCAAAACATTTTTTAAAGCTTTTACTGTATTATATCTTCATAAATCCTTTGATATTTATTCAACAAAATTATATTTGATCATACATCTTTTTCATCTCTTTAGTAAGTTTATTGTATACAATCTTAGATCTTTTCAGATTTATTACTTACTGACCCTTACTGACTGACTTACTGACTGACTTATTTATGGAGTTATTTGTAATTTTGTGCTTTTATTGTGATTGATGTAAAGGTTATAAAGTGCCACAGTCTGAACTTTGTCCTATAGTGTTATATACTATACAGTGGCTTAACATAAGGCCTTTAATAAAAAAAACGACCGGAATCCTCTTTTTCTCACATCAAGACATATTCTCTCTCTATAGGCTTACAGAACAAACACATTAAATATTGTATAAGTCAATAAAAGTTCACGTCTGCTGTTGCTCGGATGTCCCTGAGCGAATTGACTGTGGTGTTGTTGTGGCATACTGTATGTTGAGGAGAATTAAAAGCACTTTCATTGCTGAAATGAAGCTCCATCTGTCTGGAAGCTGGCATTAAACGGACCTGCAGGCTAAAACATCTGAGAACCAATTTCACATTTTTGTGCGGAAAGCCTGTTCAAAAGCAATAAAGCTGGGACACATTTAACACGGAAACCTCATCACATCAAAGGAAAATCTTTCTTTAATCTTTTACAGGTGATCAATAGCTCCATTTGACAATTACTAAGTACAGTTTGTCATTTAATTACAGTATATTGCATGAAATGTGTTTGTCCAGACTTCATCCATCATGTGTCATCCTTCTACCATACGAATATGGATGCACTCTATCTATCTATCTATCTATCTATCTATCTATCTATCTATCTATCTATCTATCTATCTATCTATCTATCTATCTATCTATCTATCTATCTATCTATCTATCAGCAAATCTATGCTGCTGGGAAAAGAGAACCAGGTCCTTCCTTCTTCCTTTATGTCTCTTCCTTGTCCCCAAATTGCCCTTTTAATCCTGTTCTACGTGTCTGACTGACATTGTGCCACTCTGGCTCCCTGCTCTGATATCTTCAAGCTGACGGTTTGAATCAAGAGGTTCCCTTGGCTCCTTCCACTGACCTTTGACCCTGGGCTGCCCTTTTCCTGACACTGGCTGAAGAAAAGGGGGATACGATAGTGGTGAGATGCTCAGGGGGGATGAGTTGCAATCTTGAACCACCAAACTCTGATACAGACATTTGATTTAATGTCATTTCTCAAAACTTCACAACCTAAAGACTGAAAAGGTGATTAACAATCATGCAGAAATCGCCTTTAAAGGAACACTGGTGCGTTTGTTTCAAACTCCCCCTGACAAGATCACATTTTGGTTGTCATTTTGTGAATACTGCACATTTACACCCAGGGAGGCTAAGCTACAGCGGGTGCCACGCCTCAGCAAGCCCATCTGATGCTCACAGAAACAAATTCTTAAAAGCAGTGAATGTGTGAGGAAGCCTGTCTGCCGAGGAGCCCCCTCGCAAAACATTTCAGCAACCAAGGAGGAAAGGGAAAAAAACGCACCAATCAACTCAAGGACTGTACAAAGAGCGGTCTGTCGTTGCTAAGAGACAGATGCAGAATAACCTCCATGAGAAACCTGACCATGACCCTTCCTCCTCCTCCCAAACAGTCTCTCCCTCTCCTACCCAATTACTACAGAACATTAAAGCCCACCTCTGTCACATTAAAGCTGAAAGGCAGGGAGGTGGAGGGGGGCTGGGGGCTGGGGTTTGTTTTAGTAGCAGCAAGAAGCTGCACGAAGATTTCAGATTATTCCTTAAAGCGCACACAAACCAATTTTCTTTTTTTTCTTTTTTCTTCCTTTTTTTTATGTGAGAGAATGAATCCGGCTTGGGAGCAGCAGACATGAAGGGTTGATGTTGGTGCCTTTTATGCAGGCTGGTGGATAGGCGGAGTTTGGGACGGATAAGAAGAAAGTGGGGGTGGGCAGAGGGAATCTG